GGGGGGGTTTCCACTGGGATAAGCAAGATCGGTTACAAATCAAGAAACTGGTCTCGAGGGTGGGACCCTCCCATTCTCCACTAGTGACTCTCCACCCTCGCCGCAGGACGCTAAAGCCTACGAAGCAAAAAGGACGGGGATATGGAAGGGGCTTCTCTCCTACGATAAGCGAGAGAAAGGAAGAAGAACAGGGAAAGGGTGACCTGCTATTGTTAGAAGAGCCCCTTCTCACCTCTGCCTGCTCCGCGCTCCCATTCACAAGCCCTGATGGAATGCTGACCTTCATGGGAAATATCTATCGGAAACCTCTGTCCCAACCGCGAAACGCTTGGTGAATATGCTGCACACACACACACTCTCTCTCTCTCCCTTTCTCCTACCATTTTCACAGGAACCCCGCGAGAACCTGACCGGAACCCGTGGGGCTTTCAAGACATACAACACCACCAAGCCAAAGATTGTGAGTTCTTTTGCCAATACCCGGGAACCCGCCCAGGCGTTACCCCCCTTTTTTGCCTCTCTTCAAACTTCTTCTCCGTGCTGCCCCTCTGTTACGAGCCTCGAGCGCGGAGCTGTTTTATGGATGGGATGGATTTGCTGAACCTGGCGTCATCTTCTCTTGTTTACACGTCTCCCCCACACAGAACGCTTGGGAGCCAAAGGTCGCCCCAAGAGCATGAAATTGGATTCTTCCGATCGAACCCCCCCCTCGCCTGTCCCTAACCCTTTTTTTCCATGATTCTAAACAAGGCAAAAAGAATACATCCCTGAACCAGAGCGTGTGATCCATATGCAGAAGAGGGGTGAAGGAGCCATGACTAGAGCCGAGGAGGGATGCGGTATCCATCAGAGATTTCCATGAGGACAAGGAGGGGAGGAATTGGCAGGAGAGGTATGAACAACCTACCTCTCCTCACTTGATGAAAGGGTTTGGTGAAGGGGGTTGGAAATGGTGACGGACTGGTCTGGATTGTCGCAAGAAAAAGAAAGTACCCAAAAAAACTCCCAACGAGGGGCTCGAACCCTCGACATTCAGATATGTTCCGAGGGAATCTCGGAGGCTCTTGTTAAGAGTCTGACGCTCTACCGACTGAGCTAGCCGGGATGGAATTCATGTTCCTGAACGGAAAATGAAATTGTTATAAATTGAGCAGATTTGGAATACTGGAGGTCAAGCCGATGGCCTGGCTCGCGTAAGCGCTTCCGAGAAAGAAGCTCGTCAACGTTGGATCCCCTTTCCAACTTGGGCTTCAGAGGTCTTCAGGGTCATTTCCCTTCTTCCACCGAAGGTTTTCCAAGGACCTCAATCTCTTTTTCTTTCCTCTCCTCTTTTTAAGTCGGATCGATTCGGAGGCATTGAGGATGGGGGTAGATAGGAGGAGAGAGACGATTCTAGATAAGGAACGTCCCCCCCCCCCCCATCCATCCATTCCTTCTCTCCCTCCTGGGTCGAAGGTCGGGGGGGGAGTGATTGGCTCTCTCTCTCCCTCCTCTTTCCATTTCCTTTTCTTTCCAAAAACCTTTCCCCCATCCAACGAAGGAGAAAACCAAGCTCTCGGGAGAATGCTTCGATAGGAGGTATGGGTAAGGTTGGTAGCCAGGTGGGGAGTGGGGTATTTTTTTTTTCTTCTTCTTCCTCTCTGAACTTTACTTTTGACCTTGCTTTTGACCGTGAGGGACCCAGCTTGACCAACCTCCTTGCATCCAACCTCTTCTCCCCCATCCTCCTCTCGAACGGAAGAGGGAGGCGGAAGGATCACGTTCGGAAAGTCGGGAAGGGTGGTTTGGTTACCGGAATTGGATCCCAAAACCCTCGGGTTGGGGTGGCGGCGCAAGTTTCCGAAAAAAGAAAAAAGAGAAAAAACCTGCGTTCCTTCCCTCTCTCCAGAGTTGCCAGGGTGCGTTACACGCTTCCGTGACACCAAAGACCTTTGGCTCAAGTAGGGTTGGTTGGTTGGGGTCTCAAGGTGAGGAATCGAACCGGATCCCCCCTTGGATACCAAAAGGATGAAGTGTAACAAGTAGGAGGGCTGGGGCAAGGGGAGGAAAGGGAAGGTAGAGGTGTGCATGCTCCCGTCGCCATGTTGGTCGTTGGACGGGCAATCCCCGCTCCGATACCACGTTCCTTTTGTTCCCCATCCCGCAGTGGGGGACTGGTTCCAACCCGTCACCAGAAACGCAAACGCGGCCAAGCGACTCGACCTTTCGGTCAAACTCTTTCTTCGAAGTGAACGGCGAAGTGAGCGTGTGGATGATAGGGTTGGGGAGTGGGATCGTCGATTCCGATTCAAAAAGTCGATGCGATTCGATGCCAGCGGGATCCATGGATCTCTCCTTCCCGTCCCGTGGGTATCTCATATCCCCCCCCCCCCCCCTTCTCTTTATCTTCGACGTAGGGTCTCCCCTTTCCCAACCTCCTGTATGCAGAGTGCGTGTTACACGTATGCAAAGTCCATCGATCCTACCTGGTGAGTTTCAAAGGTTCACCCGTCCAGGCTTTTTATTGTTCTTTTTTTCATTTTCCTTTTTTTCTTCTTCTTTCTTTCTTTCTTCACCTTCATCGATCTTCCCCCTCCTCTCAGAAGGGATTGGAAGAGGGGGTTTTTGGGGGCAGAGAAGTGTGGTTCGCTGAACCCTTTTCGAAAAAGGAACCCCCTCCCGAATCACTCTTCGAGAGACCCTTTCACCCGTTTCCCTTCGCGTGACTCGCACGTCGGTCCTTGGACAGGGAAGTGCGTTGTATGCTCGAAAGCATGAACACCTCGAAGAAGACGAGGGGAGGAACCGTTCGAGGCGTTTTCGCTGTGCCTGCTGTGGCGAGCTTTGCCTCTCTTTCCTCACCCACTCCCCCTTGTCATCACGATCTCCGAGCCTGTCACTTGTTTCTCAGGGTACCTTCCCCTTTCCCTCTGTGTCCGCCTTGAGATACGTTCCCTTCCGAGTTCCGTCGGTGATGGCGAGCCACGGTGAGAGGTCCAAGCCAGCTTTCCTCCCTTCCTCGCTTGCGCCTCCCATCCAGATCGGGAGTGAGATCCCCACGACCCAAAGGCAAGGGAGAGACGTTGGAAGGGGTGAGGAAGAACCAAGGAGGGTTCCATTTTGTTCCCTCTTCCGCCGTAGCCTTCCAACTTTGAATGCCGCCACCGCAAGAAGGGGAGGCGGGAGTAGGAGGGAGAGGCGGGCCACAGTTTCTTGAACCCCCCCCCCCCCCCCAATCGAACGACACACGCATGAGGAGCATCGAGATCGGCGAACTAAGAATCTTACCCTTCTTTCATCGGCAGGAGGGTTTGATCTTTGATTTTTTTTTTCCCCCCTTTCCCATTTCTATTTTTGTGCGTCCGGCTCCCTCTCCTCTGCGCAGGATCGAGGATTGAAACCCACAGAGCCCCTTTCGGAGAGAGGAAGCATAGCTTGGACCCTTTTCTTTTGGTATTCGTTCCTTTTAAGGTTCCCTCTTTTCTTTTCTTTTCGCCCTTGGAAAAAGCCAAAGAAAAAACCTTGGCATTCCTGGCACACGAGGTTCTACGACGAACGGTGAGGTGGCCTTTATCTCCCCCCAAGCCCTTTCCAACCTGGAACTGGGTCGTGGCACGAGACGAATTCCTCACCCGGAAGGGCAGGTCTTGGGATTTCACAAGCACAGGGTTGGTCGTGAGTGGGTCACCCCTACTTGGTGGTTGACTGGTACATGTCACGGGAAGGGGCGAGCCATCCTGGAAACCGGAATCGCCCACGATGGACGAGGATCGGGAGGGGCGAGTGGGGGGGGGGGGCATTCGATCAAGGGAATCCCTTGTTCCCGCTTCTTTTCATCGTCGTCGTCGTCGTCGTCGTCGGATCCCAGACAACAGCTCTTAGAGGGACCAAGCAGACGAAAACCCTTTTCCGTCATTCCAGTTTAGACTACATCCTGCACAGTCCAGCCATACAAGTGGAAGGAGTGGAGGGGGGAAAAGGGGAAGGGGAGATCGAAGAAAGAAGAGGGATGCGGAAGGGAGGTTGCAGAAGCAAGCTCGCTCTGTCACACTCGGGAAACCCTTGAATCCCCCCCTTTGATTCGCCGTGGATGATGTGTACTTTTACCTATCTCTATTTGTACTTGATCAACCTGCTGTGACTTTCGGCATTCTCCTTTCCCTGTCCCTTCCCACATCCTTGGAACCATCGACAGGGAGCCGACCTCATGGTTCCCGTCTCGGGAAAGAGTTGGATCCAAAACAGGTGAACGTCAAGGTGGAAGGGTGGGGGGGGGGGGGGGGGGGGGGGGGGGGG